GTGGATCACGTCATTGCAGAAGATGGCCAGTATGATGTGATGTTTCTTGGAACAGGTAAGCTCAAGCCAAATTAATTCTAAAGTGCATATGCTTTCTTTAATGCATGATTTTATATTAACAAGGAAAACAAATCTTCAAAAATAGTAACTGATCAAGATAAAAATAGGTATTCACTCACACTTAGTGTTTCTTAAAATTGTATAACATGCTCTTAATTAATAATTATAAGTCTCTCCCAGTCTGCTTTAGTGTTATTTAAGATTTGAAAATATACTTTTATATTATGACTTAAATGTGTCCGCCAGAGATTAGGTGCTCAATAAAGTCAAAAAACAAACTCACTGCAGTGGAGTCGATTCCAACTCATAGCAACCCGTCCTTGGGTTTCGGAGGTAGTATCTCTATGGAAGTAGATTGGCCAGTGTTCCTTCTGAAGAGTGGGGTGGGTTTGAACCTCCAGCCTTCTGGTTAGCAGTCAAATGCGCTAGGCACAACACCACCAAAGCCCCTAGGTGCTCAATACATATTTGTTTAATGACGACATACTAAAATTTAAAAAGTAGGGCACTGTTCCTTTATTTTCAAATTTCATATTTTACTCTCTCTATAGAGATATTGGATAAGCCATATTTTTGATACGGCTTTTTGATATTTGATATTTGATAAGGATATTTGATCCTTTCGCCCAATTTTGGAAATCAACTGACTGAGCTGACTTAACTTTTTGAAAAGTTAGGCCTGATTTTGTAAAGATCTGTAGGTAAAAATGCCTTGGGAGTAATTATTCCCTGTTCTTGAGTTTTGCAGATTAAAAATATTGCTCTTATTATTTCAACCTGTATTTTGTTTTTCTTTCTTTCTTTTTTATTTTTTAAAATTTTTCTATATGTCAATTCAGTTATCATTATCATAAAATGACATAAAAAAATTATTTTGCTCCAGAAAAAGAAATAGTGCATATTTGGTGACTCTTAAATATAAGATAGGGTAGCATCTAATAACGTCATCTTGATTCCAGTGATAGGGTAGATAACAGGTAACATTAAAACAAAACCACTGTGTTCTAGGTAATATTGTATAATATTGCAATGTTAATGGATCATGTATTGTGTGAAGAAGTAGAAATTAAAAGGTTTTCAATACACTGTCTTTTTTTTTTATTTTTTTTATTTTATTTATTGTGATTTGGGTGAAGATTTACAGAGCGAATTCACTTTCCATACAGCAGTTCACATATACTTTGTCTCATG